CTGTAGCCCAGTAGAAACAAAGAGATTCCAGAACCTTTTTCTCCGTCTCAGGAGTGTTATAGCTTGTCTATTTATCCATGGTGGCCGATTTGTTGGCCTTTTAGGAACCCTCCAGGGGATGAGATCAGTGGTAACCCTCTCAAGTGTATTCTTAAATCTATCCCATTCATCTTCAATGGATGAGACAATGTTGACTGACCAGTCGGCAGTTGAAGCACGCTCCTTTATAGCCACTATGTCAGCATGCCAAACACTAGGCCGGGATTTGGGTTGAAAACTGACTAAATTGCCAGCCCTTAAGTTAAAATCTAACACCCCATGATCACTGTTTGCTAGAGGTGGATGAATAACTAGACCATCCACGTCGTCGTTGTCATGAGTAAGCACTAAGTCCAGCAAGGAAGATCCTTGGGTAGAACCGAATCTTGTACTACCTAAGACATGTTGTGTCAGGGCATTTTCCATGGTTGTCAAGAGTAACCGGCTGTCAAACTTATCAGCGGATCCTGGAGATGTGACAGCTACCCAGTCTATATGAGGTGCATTAAAATCACCTAGAATAAGACAGCTACTGTGTTTACTCCATTGTTTGAGGTGATCTAAAATGAAGTCATCACACTGACAATAGGGACTTCTATACAGAACTCCAATGAGTAGAGTGCCGGTTGCAAAGCTTACTTCACAGCTAATTACCTCACCTGTCCCACTGTCATGAGCTTCAGATTTCACGGAACGAACATGTAGGGAGTTGTTGATGTACAGAGCAACCCCGCCACCTCTACGACCCTTAACTCTGTCGCTGCGCAAGCAACTAAATCCGCATAGCTCAGGTGTGTCATCTAATCCCGAAACCAGCCATGTTTCAGTAATGGCCACAATACCTGGGCTAAGGTCTTCTACTAATACACCTAGCTCGTGAAATTTGTTCCCGATACTACGTATATTAGTGTACACTACCTTCAGGCTTCCTATGCGGTCTGGCCTATCCACACAGGTCTTGGAAGCATACGTTTCCAAGACCTGACTATTTGAAAACCCACCAGTTTAAGGTTAGTCTCACCATTTTTGCGTCTTGTTTCTAGCTGGGACAAAACTTCTTTTCGTTTAAGTCTGTCTTCAAGAGATAAATCAGGTCTGGCTGAAATTCCTGACCCGGCAAGGTTGTGTACATTAGCCAGTAGATGATTCCGTTCATCAGGAGAACCTAAGACTACTTTAAGCAACCTACGCTGATTAGAACATTCATCATCTCTTTTGCCTATTCTAATCAGCTTTTTAATCGATACTCCAGGGAAATTCGCTGGGAGCATCTTCCTTATAATACTACTCACTAATTTAAGGTCGTGATCGTGCCTTTTCACGGGATCAGATTCTTTGGACTCTTCCAAATTTCCAACAATTATGTTAGAGTCTAAGGAGAGCTTGTCGTATTTAGCAGTGGCTACGTCCTTTCTCACCACTATTGATGCAGCCTGGCTACAGGTGACAGACGTTTGCCTACCATCAATATTACTATATTTCTTTCGACTGCTTATTTTTGTTACCCATTTATCATCTGCCTGCAGTTGCTTCTCAGGGCTGCTGCAGTTTTTGATGGTACAATCAAGATCAGTGTCTGCGCCACCTTCATGGTGAACTTCGCTTACGGTGTTCTCTGGTTCTGAGGTGCTGTTTACAGCTTCCGTTTTTTTACCTTTTCGCTTACTAAGACGCTTCGAACGCCTAGTAGGTTTTACTTCCGGGGTAACTGGGATAGTAACCGCCGGTGTGATAACATTCATGATGGCACTTACTGCTTCATCTTCAGACGGGCAGTCCGTGTCACTCTTACTAGCCACGCTATCATCAGGAAGTTCCATAGCTTTAGAGAGCAGTTCGTGAGCCTCCCTTATTAAGGTCATCTTTGGAGAGCAACACATTCTGCACATCCAGTGGGATGTTGGAGCAGTACAGCGTTTGTATGCAGCTGGACGTAATCCAGTACACATCTTATGATACCATTTTTCACAGTTATTACACTGTATTCCATCATCTACCAAAAAGTAACACTCCGCCCTATTACATTTATGTGGTACTTTTGACATCATGAAATTCTACTGGAAACAGCCAAGACAATTTACCCAATATAGAATATATAAGTGGTTAAAATCAAAACTTAACAGACAAAAGTCAAGTTAAAGTTTTTTTTAAATGTTCTTGAAGTGAATAACACAACAAAACAGCGATTTGTCAAAAACGTGAAATACGTGAAAAAAGCACTCCCTTTCAAACAGCGCGCGAGATGGAGAAAAAATGTTAATAATAAGACTCTGTAAGTCACCAAAATAGATGAGCCCATTCTAAAAATAGTTTAGCTCATGGTCTTTATCCTCTGAAGTCTCACAAAATTCGCTCCACAGAACATGAAACTAGACGAGGAGCTACTGAATTATAGTCTTTCTCCACATGTAGGCCCTCCACCTTCTATCGTGGATCTAGACATGTCCCTGGATAGCTCTTAGACAAAAACCAATGTCCACCAAAAGTCGGCATTATCCTTTCATGTCCATGACCCGAGAATCAAAGAGTAATCCGGTAACAAAGCATACAGAAATGCACCACTAGTAACAAACAGTCGACGACATTTGCAAAATCCTTCCAAGAATAATCCCCGTTGGAAGGGAAATAAGACACAGATTTATACTGACAACCAAACTAATAACCGACGTTTCCCGACGGAAGAACGCGAGAGAATACCCGTACGATATGCTAGGTCACACTAAGGTCCGCAATAAAAGCTAGCGTAGCAACGCCATCACGCGAAATGGCACAGATGACAACACTCAGAGCTCAGCTACCAACACTCTGGGCCTTCAAAGTATGACGCAAACAAACTTTGACAGGATATATAACACAAGTCTTCTGGGATTTAAACCACATTATAGCAGTGCATATGATGAAAATTATGTAAGGACACTTAGAGTGTCTCCAAACATAAGGCAAAAAATAATAAGTTATGGGCATCACAAGGTACCAGTAATGTCAATCCGCCTCGTTCCTGTCGGTGCTGAATAATGTGGACAGTGACTATAAAAGCATTTAGATCATCACTTCATGAAAACTTCTTCACAGACATGTATTCTAAAATATGGAACAGTTGACCCCTGGAAATCAGAACCTGCACATCGGTTGTGGACTTCAGATGCTCTCTACACAGACGTTTCGATCCTACTGGTTACAAAAGCAAACTATTAGTTTCCAGAACGAATCAAATATTAGCAAACTTAAATGTTAAGAGAACGTATAAAATTCCGCTAATTCCTCTGCATAAACGATAAGCAGACTAGCCGCATAATGTACAAAAACGCTAAGGCAATATCAGTATACGTGCTTACTAGATAGTGATGTACAATGAATAGAAAGATGTATATATATATATTGTTGACATTAAAGTTCCATCCGTGTTCACATACTTTTTTCGCTCTGGTACTTTGCTGCTCACTTTTTCTCCCCTGTCTGCCGTGTAGTGGAAGTTTTACAGACCTATGGTTAGACTGAATTTGAACAGGACTTGAAGCTACTTACTCATATGTACCATATCGCCCTTCAAGCTGTTGGCCAATAATAACTCAACATCCTTAAAAATTCCCGTCTCATTATATCAGGACGCTGTATAACGTCCTATACGAGCACTATCCATGGCCTTAAGTGGAATTGCACCAGGTTTACAAATGGCATGCTACTTCTTAACCAGTATACTCACACAGAACATCATGCAGCTACAAATGGTGGTATTAGCCGACTTTAGTTCAGTAAAACAAGTCTACCTGGCTATGGCAGACATTCGCCTGCGTGGGGGTACATTTCACTTCTGATGTTGCCCTACGATGACAATGCTAGGAAAACTATGCATGCATATTGCTCACTTTAAACTAATGCAGCGTTTAGTCGTAAATCAAGAAAAACTTGATGCTGTATACAGTGAAAATATATAGGACAGGTCAAAATAAATCGTAGCATTTATCGACAGATATTGAGTATAACTGACCAGGCAAACCAACCAGAATGCAAGAGAGCACACTTATTGTATTAACTCTCTAATATGTCTATACGACACAGAAACTGCACTCAAGGCTTCTTAGTAGAGTCCCATCAAAGTATAAATCTTACTCACTCCTGTTACACCGTGTCGGAATATCATGCTATAATCGATAGGAGGTAATTATACCTTTGAGCCGCTACGCGGAGTGGTTGATTATTTTCAGACTGCTATCCTACCAGTGTTCCTAGGAGAGCAGTAAAAATTCTTGGAATGGTAATTCATATGACTCATATGGTTTAAGTCCAGAGAAATGTGAACGAAAGCGTTTTCGACAACTCCTAGTCTGGCACAAACCACAAATTCCATTTAAAATACAGCAAAGCTACCCCTTTTATTGAGGTCAACAGAGTTACATCATGCAATGATATAGATATCCAATATCCAACATCGTTTTTACGAGCTAGTATAAACCAATTTGATTTCTTTGTGCTCGCTTCTTGATTGTAAGGTATAGGTTCCTGATCAGATATTGTATATAAGAATCCTTCAGGGATGAAAGGACATCCTAAAATAGCAAGAAGACGCCGTTAAAAACTCAAAGTTTTATTAAAACTCTTTACATAGATAACTGGCGTTGGCGCATAGTCACATAATGTATTTTCGCTTTAGATTGTTATAAGCAATTAAATGTTATCCGTCTAAGGGCATTTACATTGCCCGCATTTTGTGAAAATGAGAAGCAATGCATAATTTTTAGACATCTCAGCCGTCTTCTTAATGTGTAAGAAGTACAGAAATATATTATATCTTTTTAACCTGCTGTCGCCTAAAGTGTTCAGTCATTTTCTTCCGATTCTCCTGCTGTAGGTGAGTAGTGTGACATGAAATATTCATGAATATATGACAGTAGCTGTACGTACTGCTTGTATGAAAATCTCTTAGCATCTGGATATTATTTCATGTCAATATTTTGTGTGCTATGAGTTGTCGATGTTCGATTGGAATTTTAATAACCTGGTGTTGTAAGTTGTGCTAATTACTTCTGAGTAATATCTGTTGAACAGTATTTTCATTGCTGGCTTGTAGCGAGATATGTGAACCGACGGATGAACTTTTGTCCTGCTTTACTAAAATCTTGTCTTTTGAAGCGATCGGAGAGATACATCGGAATCTTGATGGCGATAAAAATGGAGAAGTGGACTATTCTGAGACAGAGAAGGTAAAGTATACAGTTTGTTAGATTCTTTGGACTCAGAATTTAATTGTTGTGTGTGTTTAAATAACGTTAGTTCAGCCCTTAGAAGCATGTAAGGTTCTGTCAGTGGTGCCCGACTACGGACTATATTACATATGTGGATACAATAGACTATCTTTGATAATCATGGATTGACGAATTGGTTCTGTTTCGGCGGGCAGTAATTAAAAATGAAGTGGAAGCCTGATTTGAAGTAAGACTGCAGCTCCTCAAATCTCAGGAGCATGCTTTGCCATTTGAGTTACTAGGCCTAGTTGCCAATTAGTTCACTTCACTGCAAACGCCATGTTATCCTGAACTGTCATGTGAATGAGTGGGACGTAACTGCCAATGTCACGTAATTACATCTGCTGTCTAGTTGGGTCTCTCAGCATTACTAGTAGTTTTTCAATACAAGATTGTCCCGTGCAGTCTCAAAATTATGGCTAAAACTGAAAGGAGACTACCTAGCTAAGCAGCTAGGTTTATGACGTTAAACAGTTTTGTTTTAGCCATTCACATAACGGCTGGGAATAATCCTTGTTGGATTTGAAAAAAGGTATTTATTTTTTAGGACTTAGTGTACTGGTACCTTGAAGCCAGTATACGCATTAAAATGAAAAGGATGCCCTGGTTGTACTACATAGCGGCTGAAATAGCTACGCTTCACGTTTGAATTTCAATTTAAAAGAAATGTGTGAAGACAGAGAAATGAACACAAAAACTTTTTCAATCACGCAAAACACAGGAAAGATTGATCAAATAAAAGAAAGTAATATGGAAAAAGCAATGTGGTGTTTAACGAAAGTGTGGGGCTGGTGGGGATATATGGGCCCACTTACCCGTGTTAGTGATATGTTAAAATTAACCAGTAGCATGTTTACCTGATACTTACGTGAGTGTAGGTAGGGGCATGGCAGGTCAGGTTTGAATGTTTCAATGGTTATCCATAAAGTTTGACTTCTGATGGTTTGATATGTTAACTTTAGTACAAAATAATACCATGCGCCTGTAGAAATTTATTTGAGCTGAGGATTATCAGATTATCTATGTCTTCATGCGTTTATACCTATTGACCACCTATAGTATGTCTCAGACTTAGTATGATAAGTAATAGAATACTAACCGTTATAGTGTGGCTAGCCCCCCACGTAGGAATCAGAGCCTTCTGTGCTGTATGTTCTTCGCTAGTACGGAGACTAGTTGCAAGAATCATACACTGCGGTCTCTTCGAGAATGTATCTGATAATTTTCGTCAATTCAAAATGGATGTTGAAATGTCTATTCGTCGGTACACACTACGCAGAAAATTTTCTAACTTTAGTGAGTAACAATCGTAACACTGTCGGTACTGACAATAAAGCCCAGTGCTAAAAGCAATGTTTTTAATAGGTACAAGTGTTTAGTAAGCCTCTTATGATAGTTGGTTCTGATTTCTGCATGACATGTCTTAAAGAATAATACAAGCAGTCGTTTTTCCCACTGATTAGAAAATTAAATATTTTATGGTTTCAGTTTCTGAGAAAGGAATTCAATTCCGCTGATGCGGTTAAGAAGTCCCGCATACTAAGCAGTGATGATCCTCTGATTAGTCTCACGGATTTGTGGCAGATGTGGAGAAACAATCCAGGTAACCTAACAGGTTTTGATATTTCTTATTTTATTTTCAACCACTTTAATTGAGCTCAAAGAATTTTGACAATATATGTGAAATCGACTGTTGACTTCTTTACTCCAAACGTGTGACAGTCATTAAAACTGTAGAATGAAGGAAACTTTGAAGATATAATAATTGTTCATTAAGTTATGAAATGAAGGCCAGGATCGAGTTAACGTAGTACTTCCAAGAGGATGTATATGATAAAATGTAAAAGTTGAGATCATTAGACAACCAATAAAACCATACCATTTTATGCATAACTAAGACTGATATCTGTACACCAGATATTTGTAAAATGAAATGAGTGAATAAGAATATTTGCCTATGAGAAAGCACTAGGATTATTTGAATGTGCGAAAAATAATTAATAGAGATTCTACAACATAAATTTTTGAACCAAAGTGCAGTGGTTCGATTTGATATTCCCACAACAATATATGAGCGGAAAACACAGGGGTAGGCGAATACTGCAATCAAGAATGGATCCGCACATGTCTGGTTTTCGTTGCTACAGTCTGTTAAAAGTCTCCAGAAGAACTTAGGAAAAGAACAAGACTGATGGTAACTGTAAAATCCGAATGGTAAAAGTAAATAGATCAACACCATTGCGACTGCTTTTCAGACGTCACAGAAGACTTCAATTAATGGATTCTTAACATTTCGTATAACTGCTCGTTAGGCACGTGGAACAACCAGGTTCGATTCCGAAATAACGCACTCTCTAACCTTATCTGACGGGTAGTAAGCCGAGAAAAGAGGGGAAGTCCGATATGAGGCTGGGAACTCCGCTCCTTGAAAACTAAAACTTTAAAGCCTGAAGCTTTCTCTTTCACTCGGAATGCAAAGGAATTAAAAAAGCTAGCTAACGCATGGGAACTCGAGATAGTTTCAGTAAAGTAGTGTAAATAATGTATTTTCGTAGCTTGCAAGAAAGTAAACACGTTCTTTCTGTAGTAATCTCAGAGGATACTAAAGTCCTAGGGTCCACAGTTATTTGACGATTTAATGATGTTGAGAGGATATAAACACGAGGAAACTGACCAAGTTTCAGGCCTAAACCAAGGGTTGTTAATCAAATATCCACCTTTTCACCTGCTCCAAAGCACTTATACTTAAGAGAGTCTGATACCTGCTATATTTTTGGATTTTGTCCATATTTCGCTGCGTAGACGGAGGGATGTTGTGGCAGTGTCTGATATTATAGGACAGTAGAGTGAAAGCTTAGTATTTTAGTTAGGGCACTGCTCGAATTTGTGCGGCTGTGTAAAAGCTTGAAATTCGCCGTCTCAAGTGCAGAAAACCAGTGTTATTCGTCATGGATGCCCATTTTGGCCGTTTTTTGTGTAATTTCGTCGCAAATGTTTTGGTGGGTACAATTTTGGTCAATATCTTGATAACTCCACTCATTTTAGAACCCTTAATGGAATTATTGCTGACGAAATATCAGTACAGATAAAAGGAACTCGTCATCTTTGAAACCGGGGTGATGTTCGGCTATTTAACATAGGAAGTGTACCATTCAGCGATTCACTCTGTGCTACTTTACGGACTTTGAAGTATAGCCCCAGGAAGGAGAAAATATTTAAAGGTTAAGGGATTCTAAATCATCGGTTTCTTCGTTCAGTTACTCATGTTAGGCAGGGCAGCATAATAAATAATAAGTTTATGTAGATTTCTCGGCAAAAAAACTAGTTGGTCAACATAATCGATAAATTTCGTTGATTGAGATGGCTAGGACATATCTTGCGAACACCGAGTTACTTTCTTTCTTGATAGGCGGTGCTAGTTGAATCCGAATTTCGTTAGAAAAAAGTTAGGGGTGGTCAAACCAAAATACGGCGACAATGCAGGACGCTGGTCTGAGATGTTTTTTTTTGGGGGGTGGGGTTGTAGATTGCCTGACTGGTTGCTAATATGTTAAAAGTAAAAGTTGACTATATGGCTTAAAATTGTGTACAGTGGCGCAAATGCATACACTTATCATTTTCGAGATACTGAAAATGTTCACGAATCTTAATTCGACTACTCTGTGTCTCTGAAGTCTTCGTTTGTTGATATTTCATAACACTACTTTCCCTAATTTTTATGTGTATGTTTTTCTGAAGTGTGAAAGCTTGAACTGATGCATCTTTTGAAACATCGTGCGTTGATAAATCAGTCAGTCAGACAGGGCTCACGTTAATAATCATTACCATTATTGTTGGTTATATGTCTTGGTTTAATCACTCCTGACTGTATTTTGTCTGATTCTGCTTCATCTCACAGGAATGAACAGTGATGCATATAGGACGTGAATAACATCAATGCGTAAACATTTACATTTTTGTCAAGAGATTTACTTTTTCTGGTTAAAACAATAGGTTCAAGTTCAACCTTATGGTTTCATCATATATACAGACGATCATATGATAGCATTTGTTTATGAAAACCTGTCAGTAGTCGTAGGTTGCTAGGGTACAGAAGTTGCCCGTGGGACAGTTCGTTCATGCTTCTGCGGTATTGGTAGTGCAGAATCCCAAAGACCGGATAGTTTGCGTATTCATGTTGAAATTGCTTATAAAACTAGCGGAGCAGGATTAATACATCTTAGTAGCATAGGGAGAATTCAGTAACATCGGTTATTAAATAGTTTATTGGGTATTACTGCCACTCGGGATATTTAATGGTGTATTATCACAGTGAGAACAAAACTTCTCTTGAATTGGTTGTTAATCAGTCATTCTATTCATGTTTGTATTTAACAACAATAACACCAACTATTTTTCTGAAATACATCTATTCGGCCTTTTTTTCGTTGGGATGACTGTTCGGTTACCAGTTTTTTCATTGGTATACTGAAATTTCAGTTGTCTCTTAAGGCAATTTAGCCCATCATTAATTTAGTACTTTTAGGTTTGACTACTTTGTCTTCTGTGCACTTTATTAAGAAGAAAAAGTATATCAGTAATGTATAGCGGTTTATGAAGTGAAATTCTTGGGAGTCTAATCAGATTTAACTGTTTAAACACTTTATACAAATGAAATTATTTTAAGGTCAATAGGATCAGTTAAGCGAATAATGTTACTAAACCACTCCTACTTCGTATTATCACCAGGTTGTTTTAAGAGTGAAAAACGATTCATTTTTAACATATGGGATGGAATAATGTCCTAGGAAAGCGAAGTATCCGAGTTTGATGTATTTTATACAGTGAATTAAAGGTATTAATAAGGTCGGGTTTATGTCCAATTCATGTTTCTGTTAATGAGGATTATCAATTGGAACATATCCAAATAGCTGGAAGAAATCCTACGTTGTACCCATTCACAAAACCGGACCTACAGCGGACATAGATAATTACCGCCCGATCAACATTACTTCCGTAGTTTCACGTGTGATGGAAAAGATTGTAAAGAAGCAAATTGTTCAGTATTTGCTCTCGAATGACTTAATATCCCGTTTCCAATACGGTTTCCTGAATAGAAGATCGTGCATTACGTGCCAGTTAGATTATTTCGATCACATTACTGAATGTGTAGACAAAGGTCGTTCGGCAGCAACATTATTTCTAGATGTTAGGAAAGCTTTTGATAAAGTCCCATATAAAAGACTCATACTGAAACTCCTATCTTATGGAATAAGTGGAAGGCTTCTTGAGTGGATAACTTCCTTTCTTACAGGAAGAGAACAGTTAGTTAAAGTCAACCATCACTTATCAACATCCAAACCGATGACCAGCGGCGTGATACAAGGTAGTGTTCTTGGCCCTACCCTATTCATTGTATTCATAAATGATATTGTCTCTGTGATCAAGTATGGCAAGCCATACCTCTTTGCAGATGACCTCAAAGTTGTCTATGATTTTGACTATAATGATATGAATATTGTTAGTAAAATCCAAGAAGACCTAAATAGTCTATGTAATTGGAGTGAAAAGTGGCAGTTAACGTTCAATCCAGCTAAATCTGGGATAACATACTTCGGACGTTGGAAACCTAGCATGTGTCTATACATGTACGGTGACCTTGTCTCAAACACAAACACAGTCACAGATCTCGGGATAACATACTCAGATCTTACCTTTACTGAACATGCAAATAAGGTGGTATCTGATTGTAACATAACATAACATAAGATAAGCTTTATTCCAAATCAGTACTTGTGATACAGAATGGAATTCTCAGCATTTTACTACAATATTGCATCCAGTTTTTTACATTAACAATAAACAAAGTTCTACATAGTTTAAAGTTATCTCAACAACATATTAGTATGTCGGTAGCAAAGCCAAAATTAAAGTGTTTGAAGTTGTTTGAAAAGTAGATACTACTAGCATATTTACTGGCGTAAGCGATAGCAAAATGTTCGAGATGTAAAGAGCGTGAAAGAACGAACAAGAATGTTTTAAGTAGAGTTTGCAAGGAAGAGAGAAACAAAACAGCACATAACAAAAATAAATAGAGAAGGGGAAAAAATAGGGAGAAAACGTTGTACCTGTAAATGATGTGAGTTGGAAAGACGAGATCCCCTTGTTCTACTGACTATTTAATAAGTTAAGGGTTTGCCGCCTAACGCTTTCTTTGTCGCACAGAACTCGAGCTAGGTAGGGTATGGATGAGTTTTTGTACTTACTAGTGCGGGCATATAGTTTCCTATATAGGCTTCTTGTTTTCCCTGAAGAGATACATGGGGAGAGTTGTGAATGTAGAGGGTGTTGTGAGTCAGATAAAATGGATTTCGCCCATTTTTCACATGAGTCCATATGCCTGTCCACCAGAATATTAACTAGCTGGCTAAGTGGCACGTTGCTTACCCTGCTGACAACCTTTAACATCCTACGTAATAAGGTATAGTCTTTCTTCAATAGCCCAGGAAAGACTAAGGGGGAGCAATAGAGAATAATAGGCAGAATACGGGAGTTAACAAATTGTAGGAGTAAGGGTTGGGTTACACCAGAATGTCTTAACTTCTTGATGTAGAAGGTAAGACG